AATTCTGAAACTGTCTCACACACATAGGGGTGAATGCATACATGAGCGATTCCACGAAAAATACGTTTGTTTGATGTAGTATCTAAAAAAAAAAATATAAAATGTTTATTTTAAGGTATTCAAACTTCGGTGTAAAGGTTTTTTTTTTCGTGTGCCTGTAAGAAAACGAACTTTTTTTAGAGTTTTTCTGTTTGTATGTATGAATTTTAAATCGGTAGAACGTTTTCGTAAAACTTGTAGTTTTTGAATAAAAAATTGCAAAGCTTAGAAAGATATGACAGAAAAAAATTTTAAAGCAGTTCATTGACGGACAGTATGTAAATTGTAAACACGGGCCATTGTTTATCTAAAAATATATCTGTTAAAATTTTGTAGACCTTGAATCTGAAAAAAGTTTTTTTTTTCGATGTTCGTGTACGCGCGTGACTCTCGCGATGGAGCTGGGACTTTGACGTTTTTTCCAGCGGGCTTTCGAAGTGCAGAAGATCATTGCGAGAGGAATAAGTAGCCAAACCATATAGCCACGTGGACGAGGTTCGAGGGACTAACAGGGAAAAACAGTTGCTCCGCGGGGATTCAGTAGTACAGAGCCGGTTATGGTCAGACGGAGAAGTTATACGTATTTTTTTTCGATTGGTTTGCAGACTAGGGAAAAATAGTTTGCTCCTTGATGTGTCCTTGTAGAGAGTCGCATTTGCAGTGGGACTGAAAGAAGTTTTAATTATTTCATGTATCGTGTCACCGATAGCCTGTAATGGTGTGCTACAGAGTTTGACGGACTCGAAGGAAGAGGGTTTGATTCCCGATTGTGAAATTTTTGGACGAAACCTGTAAAAAAACTCTCATACTGTTACTGTATGTAAAAATTGTAACGATATATTTCTATTGTTGAGAAATAACGCGATAATTGTCTTAAGCACATGATTGTTTGCGATTACGTGATTTATTGTAATGAGAGATTATATACTGCGATACCGGCTAGATAGTCAACGTACTACAATATTTAAAAAAAAGTTAGTGATGTATTTACTTACTAGAATCTTTAAATTTCCATTTGTGACGCGTATAAAAGCTTTGCCATGACGTTTCCTTGAATTGTACTTTACTGCTTTCCATTTGCATTTGCGTTATCTTCATCAACAATGTTGTAGCTATGATTTTCAAGCCAAACTATTGATTGTAAACAAACTAATTCACTATACACACTTTCAATCACAATGTAGTAACAAACATGAAATATGTGTTAGTGATTTTTCCATTTCAGGCTTTACTCTGCGAATTACGTAGCTTATGAATCAGCCCACATATTATGCTACCGCATCAGTATAAACAGTCAAAACATAATCCTATTGGTCAATAAGATTTTCACTAAAGGTCTCAAACATGATTATTTTTCGTGACATCTAGTATACAGTTTGGTAGCATTATTTTTAAGGGTGGGTAGAAAAAACATTTTTTTTAAATATATTCGTTGGATTGAAAAGATTAGATTCTTCAGGAATAATTAAAATTATCATACCAAGAAATGCACTTTATGGGCTCTGCAACTATAAGTATCATTTACTATAGGAATTTAAAATAATGTGAAATTAGATCCTAAAAAAAATCCCTTCAATACGAGAGTTTTCAGATGATCATTTATTAAAAATTGTCATACCAATGTCAAATTAGATTTTGCAAAAAAAAAAAAAAAAAATTCCCTCCAATAGGAAAGTTTGCAAAAACTTGCAAATGAATAAATCGCGAATAAACAGTCACCATATGAATATTCATAAAAAACCGACCCCCCTCTCGCGTAACTATATATANTCATTATCGTTTTATATATATATATAAAACGATAATGATGTCGTATATACGTATATATATATATGTATATATATGCAAGCAAGTTGTGCATCTCATCATCAAGCGACACACCCCAACACCACGCCGTCAAAGCAGTGCCCACACGTATACAAACCGAGTCGTCCGTGCAGTAAGAGAGCAACGCCCCGATCCGGATCTCAAGTGCATTTGCCCCGCAAAGGATGCCAAAAAAGTTATCACTTCGCTACATCGAAGCCTCGCTCTTCGCTGAATGGACCCCCCTCCACGAACACGTACACAATTCAACCAGAGTAACTTACCGTGGGGGGCACGTGACGGAAATCCGAAATATCCCCAACGAGATTGTAAATTCCGGCAAAGTTTAGGAGTGCGTAATTGAGCTCGCGCAGCTTCACGTTAATAATTAAGCCGGCCTCTCCCCCTGTGTGTGTGTGTGTGTATGTAATACACATCGAGGGAGAAACGAGCTTGCGAGTGATTGCTGCCCGTATATATATGTGGGGTACGAGAAGAGAAAATAAACAAGGGAGTAATAACCGGGCTCGAAGCTTTTCTATTGTTTTTGCGCCGTTGGTGTTTTTTTTTTTTTTGTTTACAATGCTAACGGGACCTTATCTCTCGTTGTTCTGATTTTTTTGTTGTTGTTTTGTTTTCGTTCACTCTTCCGAGCTCTCAATCTCTTTGGCGATGCGTGCATTAATTTTTTTTTTTCTATTTCCAAGGGGTCGACGTAACAAATGCGTTGGACTTTCGGGTGCTCCGTAAATTCTGCGAGCATTTTTCAAAAGATAACGTTTATTGTTCCTGCAAACGAATGGGGTGCAATTTAATTTGTCGGGACCTTACTTATCAATCCGAGAGAAGAGGTTAGGGTCGTTATCGCGGAACAATGTAGCCAAGTGCTTTTACGCAAAGTCGTGCGAAATTAAAATATCGAGTGCGCGTTTTCTCATTTCATTTGCGAAAGCGAAGGCGATGGGTGGCTTTTCATTTTTGCTAATGGCATTCGATCGATGCACGCGGACACCTTGGGTTAGCTTTGAAACTGATCGTGTCGATAGTCAAAGGTGCGAAGGTGTTCAAGTATCTGAAACTCATTAAAATTATTGAATCTATCATTGAATTCGCGTGAGATTTTAAAATCGTAATATTTGATAGAAACTTTTTTAGAATTGATTCTTTAAAGTTGCAGTGTTTAACCTCGAAAAATTTACTGGACCTTTAAGTTTTTTTTTTTTTTTTACCAAAGTTGTTTGTTTTTCGAGGTGTCAATCTGCAGCTCAATCAACAATATCTCCAAGTTTAATTGAATTCTTATTACAATAATGTTGAACATTTTCATTAAAGTAGATGAACTGATAATGAATATTATTTTTGCTCATCACTTTCATTCCAATTTCCATTCGTAACATAGCGTTTCTAGTACTTTGGCAAATAGATTTCTCTCTTTGACACTTTGAAAAATTGTAGCAATCGCACGTACAGCTCTATTTACTGGAATATTCTATACAACTGATGATAAAAAGTTGCAGCAACCTTACGTTCTCCTCAGTCACTTTTCTCTGTTCTTGTACAACACCCCATTTAAATTAAAAACTAAAGACACATTAAAAGATGTAAATAAAGTCTTCAAAAAGGTATTTAAGGATGTTACAGATAACGTCACCAAAGACGTATAGCTAACGACATAAATATCGACGTCTCTGGTACTTATGTTGTTATTTTACAAAGTGTGTTTTGAAACCATTCATTAGTCTCAATAGGTGCTGTCATCTGGATAATAATACCAAAACAGGAAAAATTTTTCTTAATTAAGAAAAAAAATAACAAATGTGGCTGACAAATGTTTTAAAAGTACGATTTGTAAAAATAACAACCTACCAGAGACATCGATAGCCATGTCGTTAGCTACGTCTTTGGTGACTTTATCCGAGATCTTTGGAGACGTCGTTCACGGCGATATTCAACAGTAAAACTTATTTGCAGTTCGAGCGTATTATTTTGCCCCACAAACCAGTATGCTAATAAAATTCCTTCATCGCTACCACCGCATATTCGGCTGCGCGACGATGAGTCTCCAAGTCCTACCCATGAAGAACAACGCGTTCGATCACTGGTCTTTCAAGCACTCCCGCGCCGGTGTCGCCTACAACGTGACCTTGATTCTCCTTTTCTCGGCGTTCCAGTACGTGTGGCTGAACAATCCCCTGTTGGACACCTTCCGCGAACTTCTTAGTCCTTACATAATCATCTACGCCCACGCCATGCACGTCCAGATCTTCGCGACCGTCATCCTCATCCTCGGGAAGAACATCGTCCAGCAGACCACGGCCATCAAGATTCTCGAAGAAATCGGCCGAGCACGGGAATCCCTCGGTGGTGTCAGAAACATCCTCAGGGGCAAACATTGGACGACCTCCAGAGTGAAAATCGTCGCTGTCGCGTACTCCTCGACGTACCTCCTAGGTGCGATTTTGTTGGCGACAAACGCGGTTCGCAACGCCAACTTTGTAGATCCGCTGTTCATATTCGCCAAGCTGGTCCACCTGTACTTGATCGATGCCTTCGTCGTGCAGTACGTCTTCGTCTTGCTTCTGATCGAGACATCCTTCCGACTGATCAACGACCACCTGGTGGAGTGTGTCGAAGTGTCTTTAGCGGGGATCTTTGAAATCAAGGGAATAAACCCCCACCTGGTGTTGAAGCTGCGCGAAGTACACCTGGTGCTGGTCAAGGTGGCGGAAGACGTGTCGGGCTTCTACTCCCTGCCGATACTCATGTGCGTTTCCTTGTACTTTGCATCGATGGCGCGCATCTGCTACAACTTCCTCGGAGCGTTCGTCTTCCTGAGCGCTGACGTGCCGAATTCGGTCTTGGTTATTTCCTTGATGTACCTCCTCAAGGACATGATCATGCTGGTGTTACTGACGACGGCGGTTGACTCGACTGTCAGAGAGGTATGTGTCCATGCAACGTTTATTCAAAGCGTTGTTTTTTTTTAGCACAAACGGTCAAAAACGTATCGGTTTTCGTTTGGTTTCTTATATCACTAAGACGAGTCACATTTTGCAGAGTAAAAGAACCAATTGTGTCGTTAGTTCTTTGATGAACCGGGTGTCGGGTGTGGAGCATCAGGATGTTGTTCGGCAAGTAAGTTGGGAGTACTCATATATTTTTATTTAATTTCATTCAAGATGATGTCAGATAAAGAGGTTATGTGTCCATCATAATGGCTCTTCCATTTCATACTTCACTGATTTTTTTTCTATTAAAAAAATTTGATGTGTTAAAAGTTTCTCGATTAATGGCAATCAGCTATTTAAACAAAGAAACAGTTGTAACGATAGTTTATTGTGTTGTAACGAAACATAAAACCACTCTAACCTCTGATCTTAACTTTTGTTAATTCTAATGGTTGATCGTGCCTTTAAAATTGGCCTCTTGAGGCTAGAAAGTATGAAAATATTAAAAATGTAATTTACGTTGTCGGCAAAAGTGAGTCTTTGTTTTTAATTTTTACTGGAATAATATAGAATAATTTGGGAAAGGACGAACGAGAGCACCAGATGTATTTTGATGATTGTTCTATATTCATCATAATAAATGACTACACTTTTTTAAAAGAATAAATTTATTTTAAAGATTGATTTTATCAATATCCCTAGTAAAGTTAATGAATTCTGTATTTCAGCTCGAATTGTTCTCAAGTCATTGTTTACTCGCAAACGTAACTTTCAAGGTATTTAATCTTTTCTCGTTGGATCAGTCGTTGCTGATGTCGGTTTGTATTTTTTAACCTGAAAATTTTCAACTTCAATACTGAGTGGTAAAATAATAAATTATGCATGTCAGATTTTAGGTTCGATAACGTCGTATTTGGTTATTGTTTTTCAATTTCAACAGAGCAACGTCGAAACGCCACAGTGCAACAATACTTTTGATCATTAATCCTAACGATTGTACTTTGTATAGATTCAAGTCAATTCGTTATTTTCCGTGTTAACGTGTACCTATTGTATTTTCTTGTTGTCTCGCGTAATTAACAAAACTTTACAACATCCAAGTGTTTTATAAGAAAAAAACAGGTGAAAATAATCTCAAACCTACTGTAAGTGATTCAAAGATCAAAGAAAAGTCATGCACCAAACATCGCAAAAAGTAACAAAGAAATTCGCCGTTTGGTTCTCGTTAGCGCGAGAAGCACGCAAATTGCCGTCGTTATTACAAGTAGCGGCGGGTCTGACAATAATGTACACGTGCATGTAAAATTTGCGCGTATTTTCACGCTTAGTTAAAAAGGTGAATATTTGCACTTGATAACGATGGGATAAAATACAGGGTTACAATTATCCTCTTTCCAACATATACCATTGTGCATACATTGCAACTGACTCCCTATGTGCAAGAGCGTATGCGAGAAGCGGAAAAAAAAAATTTTCTTTTCACGCAGTGCCAAAAAGGCGTGTCTGCGCGCACCTGCGTGTACGTGGAAGGAATGGAGTTTCGATGCAACGAACTGTAGGTTATTTTGAGAGTTTCTGTCGTTGAGCTTAGAAAAAAATATTTTCCGTGACGCGGAAAAATCACGAGATTTTATTTGTCGCTCTATAGGTTTGGATTCGAAACTTTCGGTCGACGCGCGTCGGAGACACTTACAGAAACTCAAGTGAAAACTAACTTTGGTTTGTAAAGTTTTCAGTGGAGAAAAAAAAAAGAATATCCACTTCAAAAGTAATTTTGCGTCTTTTTCAACAATAAACACCCGCACAACTCTCTACCCCGGTAGATTTTAGTATTTATAAAAAGAAAAGATTGTTTTTTTTCCAACGGATTCAATGGAGCATTCCCTTTGAGCAGCTTCCAAGCGTCGCATTGGCGAGATTCGCGAGTTGGGATTTCTAAGGAAGCGCTGCCGGTAAACTTCCTCCGATCTCATCGACAAACTTTCAACGGTACGTGTGTGTAGCTCTGCAGCGTAGCAGGTGTCTCCGAGATCGCGTCGATAATGTATGAACTAGCCCGGCACGGGGAATCCCCGTTTTTTCTCGTTTACGGCCAATCATCAATATGTATACGAAAAATGTTTCTTTTTTTTCCCCCTCGGCAGATAAAAAAAATCTCGTGCAGTATATTGCAGTGCACGAGTTTTTCTTCGTTGATTGTATATACGTATATTGGTTTTTTCGTGTCTCCTTTCCCGAGAACAGCGATTCTCGTGATTAATACACAGCCATTACTCGCATGGCCCTCTGCGCTCTTAAGGATTGACCCATTTATTTTCTGAGCTCCAAAAAACAAAAATACAGAATTCCAAGACGAAAAATGGTGTGTACACGGATTGTACAGCTTCTCTCGTGCACGTTTAATTTCGTAGACGTACAAAGATAAGAAAACCATACATGCAGCGCAAAAATTATTTGTAAGACGAAAAAAAAAGAAGCAAACGGGGCTCATTTAATTTTCTCGGCGCTTTGGTGCCACTTACTCGTATAGTACGTATATGTACATTATGGTCTACGGGTGGTCCCCAGTAGCGGCGACGGCTCATCCGGTGGCTACGGGGAATAACGATCCGCGTGACACAGCCGCGAGCACCGCTCACACACATAGGGGTGAATGCATACATGAGCGATTCCACGAAAAATACGTTTGTTTGATGTAGTATCTAAAAAAAAAAATATAAAATGTTTATTTTAAGGTATTCAAACTTCGGTGTAAAGGTTTTTTTTTTCGTGTGCCTGTAAGAAAACGAACTTTTTTTAGAGTTTTTCTGTTTGTATGTATGAATTTTAAATCGGTAGAACGTTTTCGTAAAACTTGTAGTTTTTGAATAAAAAATTGCAAAGCTTAGAAAGATATGACAGAAAAAAATTTTAAAGCAGTTCATTGACGGACAGTATGTAAATTGTAAACACGGGCCATTGTTTATCTAAAAATATATCTGTTAAAATTTTGTAGACCTTGAATCTGAAAAAAGTTTTTGATGTTGTAAATTTTTGGCAGTTAGCACTCAGTCTTATTTGTATTATTTTGTATACTTAAACCCATAGTGGAATAAAAACATGGATTGGGTGCCTGTCAGGGCTGATGGTAATAGATACATCGGTTTCACTCTGATGATATTTGCATTTTTTCACCACTACCGGATCGACAGTAGTAATAATTTATAGAAAAAAATTTACCATTTGTAGAAAAACGTATCATTTACCAAACGATGAAACTATCGCTTCGTTTTTCCAATTTCTCTGACTCTTTGGAAACTTTTATACCTGTCAAACTATTTTGCATCTACTCACCAAAAAAACAAACGCCCAGTCAGTAAAAATCACAACTGGCGAATAGCCTGCCTATGTATACAAGTCAAAAATTACCTTTGGATTACCATACCTAGCTCATACTAACGTACTTGTGGAAATTACAGCAATAGGTACACAATGAATGGGATAAAAATTAACGCTTTTTTTTTTCGAACTCAAGGAACAGCTAAAAATCCCTACCCGACTCTATAGTTCCGAAAGCCTCCCTCCTAAGGTATGAAAAAGAAAAAACTGCAATTTTCAGACACTCAACAGCGAAATTTTTTTTAACGTAATCGTTCATATACACACACACGGCAAGCAGGATTACACGGCCATGGTAAGAAGGAGAGCAAGCTATACATAGTGTACAGAACGGGAGAAACGTCTTAGCCGCGGATTAAGAGAGGAATCGCACAAAACGCGCGCTCTCGCAGGGAGTGATGTGTGTGGACCGAGGGGGTAGCATATATAAGCCTTTTTTTTTGCCTACATCAAAGAAAGGGGAAAACAAAAAAAAAAAAAAATGCAGGTACGTATATATGCAGAAACGAAACGCTCAGAGGAAGGAAAAAGAATCGTTTTACCCGCCTGTATGTGTACGCGGTTTGCATGGTAAAGTCGTAAATAAAGATCCTGGCCTGCACCTCCCCTCCCGGTACAGCGTCTTTGATTGTATTTTGGAGTGTGTGTGTGTGTGTGTCTGCAGGAGTATTGCAGTTGCCGAGGAGGCTGTTGACGTTTCCAGGTCAGGGACCAGAACCGGCGGTCGAGTAAATGTGTGTGTGAATACGCATATATACACATGTATTATACCGTAGACGAGAAAAACGCGGTACGTGCGTGTTTGTGTTTTATGCGGGCGCCTCCTTATATTCGAATGCCTCTATCTCTCGCCAACTTCCAGAAACTCTGAGCCAAAAGCACTTTTTATCTCTCCATAATATATACGTGTGCACACCCCCACACCCATATTATATACAATATCACGCTGACGTTTTCATTCGCGCGCACACCCATGTTGTGTGCGCGTGCTTGGAAAAAATCTTCCTCATCGTCACGCGGTATATATTTAGCACGTGTGTCGATGGCCCGGATGCTCGACGACCCGATGTGTGCGAGTCTTGGGCTGAATTATCGCTCTGTCAGGCAACGATCGGCACAGGTTGCCGTGCAGTGCGACGGGAGCTAATAATATAATCCAAGGGAGTTGGATTACAAAAGTGATATTTATGGTGGTGGTTTAGAGTGCAGTGTGTGTCCCTGACGGGTATAACGGATATGTGGTAAAATATTTTCAAAACTTTTCGGACCTTTTTCGTTGGAGCGATGGCACAAAAACGTCCCTTCTATAGAGCTTTTGGAAGTTGGAAAGTTTCTTTTTTTTTTTTTTTTTTTTTTTTTTTGCGTAACTTGATGTGAGTATATATACGGGAGAGTTTGAGGGCGGGGATTATTTTCCTATATTTTTTGGCTGAAATGGGGATATAAACCCTTGGAAGTCATTTTTTTATAAACCTCATGGTTTTTTTTAAACGATTGTTCGCAAAAGTTGACAATAGAATCTGCGAGGTTTTTTATGAGTAATCTATAAAACATCTTTTGATTGTTTAGTTTCAGAGAAATATAATGTACGCAGTAATTAGAGTTTAAAATGTAAAAAAAAAATACAAACGCCAAGTTGTTTCAAGTTACCAAATTTTCAATGTTTTACAATAAGTTTCTATTTACTTGGACAATTTAAATAAAAAGTTGTCCAGGCCCTCGTAACGATGCAACTCGAAATAAATACTTAGCATTCTAATGAAACTGGGAGCGTTTCAAGCTAAAAATTTCTAGTCGACTGCGTAAAAATTTTCTTAAAATTTCGACTTTAGAAATGAATTTAATTTTACATTTAACATTCACCCAACAGTGGACGCATATTATATACAAATATTAATTTGCACGAAAAAAAAAACCATGAAAAACGTAAGAGCGGGTCAAATTATTTGGGAGCGGGAAATCACTTATTTCCTCAAGATCACCATATCGCTGCAATGTGTTATTTCCCAACGGGACAAAAGAAACTACAAAGACCCCCCGCGCAGGCAAGGACCTAATTAATCCGCTGCACACACGCGGCGCGAAACCAAGCGCGCACGCGAAGCTCGGTGTACTGCCCTCCGCGCCCTTATCTCAAGCTGTTTTCGAGTTGTAAGGCTCCCGATAACTCGAGACGCGTACTTACATTGATCGTGGCCGAGGTACACTCCAAGCGCGTGAAACGACGCGGGGGTGTGCAATGAAACGTTGTTACCGAATGCAAATACCAAACTATTAGGCTTGTAATTACACCAGCCTCCCCCACCCCCCACTTGTCTGAGGCGCGATAAGGATGAACTTTTATTTGACGAGAGTTGTCTTTTTTTTCTTTTTTACTTTCACTTTAGTCACTCCAGTTTTCATTCGTTTCATTAAAAAGGGGCGAGGAAGGATTCACCTTGTTTTTTTCATAATTACGAGTGTGTGACACAACGTTACCTCACGCGTAGAGTGTGAATGACAGTTTGCGGGGGAGCTCTTGCTTTATAACATACATATACACAGTAAGTACCGGGTGGTCGAGTGAAAAACCTAAAAGCTGCGTGCAGTACGTGTGCGAAGAATAACACTCACTCGTTACCAACCGTATGTTTTCGCGCCTCTGAATGAGGGATGTCGTTATTAATTGCTGAATTTTCACTGTAAAATGTCCTTCATTCAGCCAACTCTCGTGTAAGGTCCACAGTATACATGGGGATGAGGAAAAAGGTCTGGCATTAATTTTCGGGGACGGTGTGGCACGTTCTGTCTCTCGCCTCTCTAGGAACCCAGGGAGGGAGAACGTGGGCGCTGATTCAATATTACGCGAGAATTTATCAGCCAAGGGCCCGTAGTAGGCGCCACGAGCTGTTTAACTTTTCTTTTTTTTTTTTTTTCATCAAGTCACACACGTGAGAAGCGCGAAAAGTTGCTGGCCGGAACGTGATTTACGATTTACGTGCGTTGTGCGTTGGTAACTTCCAAACCTTCGGAACATGAGGGCTTTATTTCGGTTTTGTGACTTTTAGATATGGAATGCGTATATTTTTGATTTACTTTTAATTGATAAATGATGGTAAAGTTCGTCGTCAAAAGCTGCGTATATTCTGATCGACACTTTCTATACAAAGACTAGCACAGCTCGGATTATTTTATCTTATTTTAAATGAAATGTGTTATCCACTGTTTGTGGGTTACACTTCATACAAGATTTCTTTTAACGATTGTGGACATGAATGTGTAGGTAGAGTAATGAGAAATTTTCCTGGTAATATAGATCTAATTGCTCGTGGCAAACAAAGAACTATTTCGTACAATAATTATTGTGATTCAACTTATTCTTTAATGTTCTTATACTAACGATGCGGTTATCAAGAAAAGTGGATTAATATTGAAAAGAGACTAAAAATGTTCAAGCCATAAAAGCTCTATGAGAAAAAGTTGTCTCAAATCGTTATCCAGTTGAATCAAAAATGTTGGTTGCGATGTTAAGATATAAAAAAAAATTCAAACGTTAGTATAAAGTATCCATCCAAATTTATGTACCATCAGATAATATGTACACAAATTTGAATTGCAAAATAGTATAAAATGTCAAACGTATTGCACAGAAAAAACAAATGGGTGTTTGTTTTAAAGAAAACTCGCAATTCTAAATTAAACACAATGTTTAACTATTCAGTTAACAACTTGATAAAAATAGAATTATTTTTTTTTCCAAGTATAATGAATCATCAATGACTAACTTTTCCTAAGTATAATGACTCATCGATGACTAACTCAAGATCCAAAACGACATATATCAATAATAGATTAGAATGTATCTACATAGATATTAACGAAATTTTGGTCTTTAGTAAGTTAGTCATTTATGAAAAATCATATACTCGGAAAAATAATGATTCTGTATTTATCAAGTTGTCGACTGACTAGTTTTAACTTACGTTCGAAATTGTAAATTTTCTTTGAAAAGACAATCACCAAATAAACATTTTTAACATGTAGATACAATAATAGATATACCGAATGGTGGAAAATTATCATACAGCTATAGCTAAGCCTTTCATAAAAATCAAACACTGATTGCTGTTAAAAAACGTATTTTAATTAATTAATTACATTAAAATTTTGCTTTAAATCCCTTGAGTTGTAGTTTTTACAGTTTTATTAATTATTTAATTTAAATGTCGATTCTTTTGCAAAGATTTTTTTTTAATCATATCGTGTTGACCACCATATAGCATACCTACTCACTAAGAATACAATTTTACATTAGCATGTGAGGTTTACCATAAATACATTAAAATCTACTTAATAAATATTGNTTTTCTTTAAAATAAAGAGAATTAAAATTTACTTTTTTCATCGCTTACTGTCACTCTGTACATTTACATTAAATTGTATTACTTCAACAGATGTGTATTCTATGTATAAATTTAATTTCAAAATTTTGAAATAAAAAAAAAAGTAGTAAAAATACCAAGACTTTTCGAGACAAAATCAAGAAATAAGACAAGAATCGTCATCACAAAGAACCAAATTTTCGAGATTTTTCCATATCCAAATAAGAAACTTGTGACATGATTCAAAAATAGAGGTTATGTTACTATTTTTGTCATTGTTTTAATTTTATTACTATAGGTGATGGTGTAATGCTTTGCTTTCTAATTTCTTGCAAGTTTTTGTTACATCATTGGCATTAAACATTGTTTTCTGGTAAAAAATGAATCAGTCGTACTTTGCACTCGAAAAAAGTCATTTTTTATCTTAATTTAACTACATGTTATTATTCATAATCATTTCCATTAGGC